ACACACACACATACACACACACACACACACACACACACACACACCAACACACACGAAAGTGCTCATTCACACATCCAAACACAACATGGTAACATACCCTCTCTCACATACATAAAGGAGAACCTGCGTTCATTGAGGAAAAAACGCGTATTGTCGGATCTCAAATGTACAAAATGATTTCTTTGGGTGTATCGTTTCTCCTTTTTTTCGTTCATTTCTTCCTTCCTTCACTCTTTCCTTCCTTCCTTCCTTCCTTCCTTCCTTCCTTCCTTCCTTCCTTCCTTCCTTCCTTCCTTCCTTCCTTCCTTCCTTCCTTCCTTCCTTCTTCTTGAATTCCATTCTGTGCCAAACTTAGAAATGATAAACTCCTCTTAGATAGAGTTGAGCATTATAGCTTCCAGCCTTTGTGCAGCATGTATGAATTGTATGGCACTTCACTCTCAAAAAGCAGCATATGGAATCTAAAAATACAATTCTTCGTTCGACCTGGCTAGTTTATAACTGAATAGATTATGTACTATCGTCATCTGCTCTGAAATAGGCCATATTTATTCGCTTTTGTATGTGATCCCCCCAGCTGCATCATGAAAAAAAAGGAATCAATGTGAAAGCGGAGTTCCTACGTTGAAATAAATTACGGCAATGAATCTGTTATTAATGATACTTCTATACATATACAGTTTTTGGACTTTAATTTTACTAAAACGCTGAGCCATCGATAACTGTGATTAATCGATCTTGATATTTTGCTGGATATAATAATCGATCATAAGTAAATTCAGAACCGACAACCATTTTTAATTAAAATACCGAACAATAAGGCACGTGTTTATGACGCTGGGCTGATCAAATAGACGCAGGCTTAAGCCCTTACAAAACAAACCAACACTCAAACAAATGCACGTTCTCGCACGTGCTTATACAAGAGCACTCGCGCTTTCTTCCGCACACCAGGAAGAATTGGGTACTAGGAAGTACTGGTAGCCTCTTGTTTTATCGCATTATGAGTGAGTATAGATCTAAAGTTGTGCCGGCAGCCTCGTATCGATTGGCAAGTCGTGGAGAATCGAGGCTGATCGGAGTTGAAGACAAAGGGGGGAATTCGACCCTGTGAAAGCGGCGACCTTAGCAGAATTAAACAGCAATTACCACAGTGGCGGACTCAACGATTTCAAAAAACGTGTGAGCGCTGGTGTAACGTTGAAGGTGAAGGTAAATAACATAATTTTAAAATCCGTTAAGGTTGCAGCGAGGAATGTAAGGTCTTCTTCTACATCAACTGTATAGGGTTACACGCAACTTTTTACCCTGTTCGGTTTTTTGGCTGACTTGTTGAACAGAAGATCTATATGATAGAGTGTGTCACAATTCTGTTTTTCTTTCTCTACCCCCCCCCCTCTCTCTCTCTCTCTCTCTCTCTCTCTCTCTTCTCTCTTCTCTCTCTCTCTCTCTCTCTCTTCTCTCTTCTCTCTCTCTCTCTCTCTCTCTCTCTCTCTCTCTCTCTCTCTCACTCTTACTCTGTGTGTCTGTGTGCGTGTGCGGATGCGTGTGCGTGTGCGTGCACACACAAGCCAAAATCTGTTATCAGTTGCAAGTTGAGCTTGAGGCTCACACACATAATTTTTAAAGGCAGGGCCACCAAAATTTGAATGCGGGAGTTAAAGCGTCTGGTGAGAGAGATAAGGAGAAAACTATCATTAAACGCCAATATAATACGAGATAGGTTGTGCCTGGTGTTATTCTTCAAAACATGTGATCTACGCGAGCGCCGCCTTCATAAACAAACTTAAGTGTAGCTAGAGAGCAGCACTCACCTAAGAGGTCAACCATTGGGATCCTTTGAAGGTGCCGAAAAATAATTATTTTAACTCAATAGAGACGCGCATTTTGATCACTCGGCAAAGCATATCTGGGGCGTAACTTCATTATAATTCGAACAGAGTTTCCGCTTGTACTTTAAAAAGGCCATCAATAATATGCAACAAGGAAAGGACATTTGGAACCTGTAAAAGGGTCACAGAGAATGATGTAGAGAAAGTGGCAAGACATGGGATAATTTCAAGAGGCTAGTGCAAGATAGGGAAAGGTGGGACGTGTTTGTTCGTGCCCTATACCCTGATGCGTGGTGAGAAAGGCAGTGATTACCAATACGAATACTCTAAAAATTATAATGCAAACTCGTGTTTCTCATTTGTGCATGATGGTTGAAAATGTGCCAAAACGTTGCCTTTCTTCTGTTTCTTATCGGACGAGTGTGTCCGCTACATCATCAAGGAGTAAAACATGCGAAGGACTTCCGTCCATCCCAACAAACACAATTAAGAAGGGACATAACCCTAATCCTCTTCTATTTCATAGTGGTCGATCATTACGGAATTTCTCTCAAAACATGCCTCCTTTAACATTCCAATTTATACTCATTTAGGTGATCTCCGATATTCTGCTACTGGCGTTGGCAGTTTAGTGGTAGACTGCACCGGACTCGTTATCGTGAGGTTAAGGTCCAACGTTGGGGTCTTAAGAAAATGCACTTGACACGTTTTTTTTTATGTTCGTTTTGGCACAGTACTTTCGGAGACTGGCGTCAAATTCGGAGGTGTTGAACCTATAGATCTACCTTTTTTATGTTGCATTGTGATTTGAAATATGATTTATTTGACGTGTGTGTTCGCTTGCTAGATATTGTTTCAAGGTATTGTTTTCCTTTTAAAAAATTTTTTTAAAGCTTACAAACGGCCCGCTGGCGGGAGGGGGCGAGGAGAGAGAGAGAGAGAGAGAGAGAGAGAGAGAGAGAGAGAGAGAGAGAGAGAGAGAGAGAGAGAGAGTCCTGTCCTTGGTAATGTCTGTATATTATGGTGTTCCTTTTTTATATAATATAGTGAATATGTATAGAGAACAACACTATAATATAAAACATGAAAGCCTCAAGCTATGGTTACCCAAATAAATACCGCTAATCGTGTTGCTAAAAAAAAAAAAAAACCGGTGAAACGGAAGATTAGCCCGTGGGGTTAGAAAAGCGAATGTTCAAAATAACAATAAAAATAAAAGTGGCAGGACACGTCGAAGTCCCGTGGATCTGTGCTCGTCTTTTACAACACTCGCAAGCTCTAAGAGCTAGCAAGGTTCTGATCACTCGCCGACAATAGCCAGGAGTGGTATCAGTAGTCAGAAGCACGATGTACCTGAAAAATATGTTACATCAGAAGTTGCATTATAAGACTTCTTGTAATAGAATTTGTACTCCATAATCGATGAGTCGAATTCGAGTGCCGTTCTTGCGTACTGTCAGACAATTAATAGAATGTTATTTGTTGGGGGGGGGTATTATTTTTTTTTTTTTTTTATGTAAACAAAATCGCGATTGGCAGAAAGAGATATGACGTCATCTTGAGTGCTTTGACAGAAAGATGTTGGTTCCTTTATTACTTCTTTGCTTGTTCGATTGCTGTTCTTTGGTGTTGCTTTTAGAATGGGTGGTGAAGAGGTTGTTTTGGCACTTTATTTTGTTTTGTTTCTTTGCGGTTTTTGTCGTTGGGGGTTTTTTGTTTTTGTTTTTCGTTGTTTTGGTTTTTTTGTTTATTTGTTTTTTAGTTTTTATTTTGTTTTATTTTTCTGTTGTTTT